CCAGAAACATTTGGGGGCTGACACAGGTGTCACTGAAAAGCAAAGCCTATGCCACACATTTCTGCTGATTGTAGGTATTAGTAACAAAGTTTCCAGTATCATGAGAAATCTTAGCTTTTGGCAAAAAAGAGAGTTTTGTTCAATAACAAAAATCCACTCAGGACATTCCCAACAAAACTGACTCCTTTCCATCATGATCACATTCCTAAGCAAAGGATCAGTCTGAAGATGGTGGTGTTAGGGTATCCCTATGACACAGCTGAACTTACATGAAAAATTGTGTTTATGCGTGTGATTTTCAGGCTACCTCCAATCCAGTTGTCCCTGGCTGCACAAGTACTGGGAATCTGTGCATAGCTGCCCACTTTTATGAAAGTTTTGCAAGGCACAATTATCGAGATAAGACTAGATGTCTCTCATTGTGACAGAGATTGATTTTTGACACCTTCAAAACTGTCCGAACTGTTGAAGTACAGAGACAATGTACACAGTGAATTTGCCACTGCACATGTCACAACATCTCTTGGTCAGGCAGCTCTACAAGCCATGGTTTTATAGAGGAATTAATAATTATCTCAATTTTCCTCAATCTTGTGACAGAGCTGAGCGTACCGTGGCCAGCACTGCTAGCATCCTTGCTACTCTGGTTGAACAAACTAAAAAAAAAGGGGGGGGCAGAGAGAGAAGGGTCTGGAATACCAGTTTATTCTCATTTCCATCTTAAGGCATTGAAAGGGCAACAGTTAGTGCCAGGGCCACATCATTAACTAATGAATAATCAATTGTTTTCTTTTTCTTTGCTTAAAAAAAAATTCCATCCACCACTACAAAACCAACTTGGCATGCTCATGTATCCTGGCTTGAGGACTCAAATACTTATGCTCCATCTCTACTACTACAGAACCATCTTTTAGTCACATTGCCAGAAAAGCACATTGTAAATGAGCCCCAATATGGCAGTTTTCATTGTTGACAGGCCCAAAGTGTATGTGTGTGACCAAGATGCTCACAAAAGTGAGAAATCAATAGTGCTGGCAAGACACAAGTGTTCATTTCACATTTTCAAGACACATTTTCATCTGCTTTTCCAAACCTGCTCATTTCCACTGCCATGAAACCTTCTGAGTTCAATATTCTTTCCTTACCCCTAAAAAGGACACAACTCAGAACATTCTGTTCTGTTTGCTGTTTGAACAGCACTAAAGGAAAAACAGTGTCACTCTGTACTTGTTGTTACTTCAGTTAAACCCTGCAGTATTCCCCCTTCTATCCCATTTTTTGGGGATCTCCATGCAATTATGTTAGGGTCTTTAATTTCAGCCTTCAGTACACAATGCTGTTCCAGTCTAGAGCCCCTTCAGAGCAAGAGTTTCCAAAAATACGAAATGATGCTTAGTTTAGTTATGTGGATACACTTTTACAATGAATTCAATCAGAGATGGACAAACATAGTGACCCTGTGAGCCACACACAACAACCTTCAGAAGTTCAAAAGCTGGGGCATACCTACTGGGACTCAGGGCTTCAGCTGCACAGTGAGGTGGTGAGGCTATAGATGTTTGCCCTGTAGGATTGAGCTGTACAGAAAGCTGGCTAGATTGTCAGGCCCAACAGCTAGTGATCAATGGTTCGGTGTCTGATTGGTGGTCGGTATCAAGCAGAGTGCCCTAAAGATCAGCTCTAGGGGCAGTTTTCTTCAACATCTTTATTAACAAAATGGATGATGGGATGGATTGTACCCTCAGCAAGTTTACAGATGACACTAAGCTAGGGGGAGAGATAGATATGCTGGAGGGCAGGGATAGGGTCCAGAGTGACTTAGACAAATTGGAGGATTGGGCCAAAAAAAATCTGAAGAGGTTCAACAAGGACAAGTGCAGAGTCCTGCACTTGGGACAGAAGAATCCCAAGCATTGTTACAGGCTGGGAACCAACTGGCTAAGCAGCAGTTCTGCAGAAAAGGACGTGGGAGTTACAGGGGATGAGAAGCTGGATATCAGTCAACCGTTTGCCCTTGTAGCCAAGAGGGCTAATGGCATATTAGGGTGCATTAGGAGAAACATTGCCAGAAGATCTAGAGAAGTGATTATTCCCCTTTATTCGGCACGGGTGAGGCCACATCTGGAGTACTATGTCCAGTTCTGGGTCCGTGTCAGGAGGCGACCTTCTGAGCCTACCCTGCAGCAAGGGTGGGGTCACAGCATGGGTCGATTCCTGTTTTACTGTGGCCCTCAAGCGGGAGTTGCGCCGGATCTCGGGTTAGCCAATGGCCCCCGCCCGCGTCTCCCCACCTCTGGGTGGACTCTCCACAGCGGGGCTCTCTTGGCCGCCCTGCTCAGTTCAATAACCCAGTCCCAGGGTCCACCATTCGGCGCTATTGCCGACCCTTCACCATTGGCCACGTTTGGCCTACCCCCAGGGTCCTCAGTTCAGCCCTCTACAACATTCTAGTCAAGAAGCTGTGTAACTGTTCCTGTCCAGGGAAAGCAGCCTTCTAGGTAGAAAAGTGCTGTCCCAGCTATGGGTGGGGGTAGGGAGACCCAGGTCCTCCTGCTCCTCCGGGTCCCAGCCCAGGGCCCTAAAGGTAGGGGCAGCCGCTACTACCTGGCTGATGAGGCTGGTACCTGAAACCCCTCAGGCA